AATGTCTTTGTAATCTTCTATCAAAATATAACAATTTTAATTGCTTTAACTAATAATTCAGTCTCTGCAACAACTTTCCTTCTTGGCTAACCTCAAAAGGGTTGTGCATCATACAAAGCTGAATTTAGAATTCCAGTTTAATTGCTGGATTAGAACTGAATTGCAGAATAGCAATTTGAATATTAGGAAACAATTAAAATTGATTAAAATTCAAATAATTTTATATAACTAATTTTTTGACTAGAAAAGCAAAGTTTGTCAAGACATGTCATACTATAAGATACATACAGTGGTTGGTGTTGGAAAAGACAGAATGATAGAATGATAAAACGACAGACAGACAGACAGACATTAATTAAATGATCCAAACTCCACCAAGATAATTGAAGGCTGGCTGACATACCTGAAAAGTCTCCTTTAACACTTTGACCAACTTTACATTGAAAGTAAATGTTCAGTGCCTCAAAGTGAATAAAGTATGGTTCATATAACTCTGCCATTTCATTTCCACTGACAGCTACTTCATACTGGCATTCGGATACTTCACAACGCACCACTGGATTAAATGGCACCTTTTCTTGCAGCGAGAGATAAGAGGAAGTCTCGGAGCACCATTTAATAATCATAGAGCCCCATAAGACACTTTAGGTGCTGCTAATGGAATAAGCACAGTCTCTGTGTCTGTCTGGCTTATTCTCTTAAAAGAACTACAGCAGAGAACGTCCATCTTTAGCTCTCATCTCAACACGCTCTAGCGGAATACACATAGTAATTTCTCATGGGTCTCATAAATGGTCTATTGCACAAAAAACATATTGACATAAGGTCTATATTTGTGCCACGTTTCAGCTGGAAAAGCTCCTTTATTAAAAGCAGGTCTGTATCAAAGGCTCCTATTCTTTGCTATTTGTTGCATGTCCTCAGTATTTCTTTCCAAAAACCTGTGTTTGATTCACTAACAACCTGCAATCCAATATAACGAGGTATAAGCATGTCTGTGTCTGCCTTCTACTTTCATAGCTGCCATTAGTCAAACCTTAAGAAGATCCAGACACCAGAAAAAAGAAAAGCACATTTTAAATTACTGACAGGGGACTAAACTGTTGTCAGCGCCTTAATCATTTCGTGGGAGGATAGTAGAAATGCTTTACATTTTTAATGCAATGAGGACATCAACCCTTTGTTCCACTAAAAAAAAAATATCATTCTATAATACAGATTTTGCTTATAATGATGGTTGTGGATGGGTCATTTCCAGTTCACAAATAGAAATGCATATTTGCAGTCATTTGGGAGAAATGCTGAACCCTCCCTCATGCTAAATGTAAAATGATGTAGTGTGGAATTAAAGAGGAAGATGGCAGTGTGTATGATCAGCACTGACAGGCCTTCAGATCAGCTCAACATTTAGAGAAGCCGCAGGCTGAGTGCTTCTTCCTCGCATGACCATCACGTCATATGTGCGACCACCATCTGGAGGTGAAAACCTGCACCCTCTGAAATACGTCACCAGCGTGATGAAGCAGGAATTACTCTAAATTGCTGCTTTGAAGCGTGGCAAATGGCTGCAAAAAGAACTGGCAAGACAGTGATACACTGGAGAATGACATTTTATTGTCATGGTAACACAGACACACTGACCATTTAAAATGCTGCACTGATGCCTTAGATGTGGACAGAGTGGAGGTCCAGATGTAATTATGGTCCATTAATGGTGGACCGGACCTGCCACACTGCTGTCATTAAGACTTGCGCTGTATGTTCTTAGAATAATGAGGTCAATAACGATACATTGTACCACAACAAGCCAAAGCAGATGCATGTCTAATACAAAAATAAATAAATAAATAAACAAACAATGTAAATGGCATTTTTAATGGCAAGCAACCCACCAAAGCTCTGTTCCAAAACCTTAAGGCATTATAGGCATGCTCCCAAACACAAAAGCTGTTCAAAAATGTAGGCAGCAAAACTATTCTGCCTTCTAAAATATCTAATTTTGGCTAAAGACAGTATAGCACATATAGTGTAATGCACCACAATGCGCTTAGTGAAGTTATTCATCCAAGTTGATGGATGGATGGATGGATGGAAAGAAAACTGAAAAGCATTAATACAAAATAGTGAATTTTACACCATGCAAAGAAAAAAATATTCAAATATTGATTTGAGTAATGTACTGTACTTTACTCAAACTAATTACTGAATAGATTTTCTTTGCCCAGTTTTACGTTCATAACAATCATAAAAATGCTTTTAAACTAAAAAGTTTTTCATAGTTTTAAAGATGATTTTAGAATTATCGAGTCTCTAAAATATTAAAAATGGAGAGAATACTTTCCTGCATGCTGCCAAGTTTTCCTGAAAAAACTTATATTTATTTAAACAGGAATGTTCTGTCTTACAACCATTCTATACCTGAATAAGCATTGCTGTTAAAATAAATATGAATATTTGGGAAACTATGACAGTGTATGGGACTGTTATATATATACTGTATATATATATAACAGTCCCATACACTGTCATGTATATATATATATATATATATATATCTTTCTTTTTTGTCATGCTTATTTTTGTTGCTTGGAATTATTTAATAATGTTTTTTAATGAAGTACTAAATAATTTGAATAATTTCAAGAAACGTTACTATAAAAAAGAGAAAACATTGGTCTTTTAAAATGTTTTATAGAGCCAATAAACAGCTTAATTAAAGCCTTTATGCTTGCCCTAAATGCATGCTTTTATAACCCATACTCCCTCAAGGTGCAGTCAGAGGAGCGTCAGTCAATCATCTCACCAGGTTTGGAACGGAGCTACAGTCAAAGTCATCTTTTCATCAGTTTACTGTAACAGGAAATTCATTTGTTTTAACCTTGGGAATTCACTTTCTTCCATCCCAGATCGCTCGTTTGAATTAGAATTGGAAAAAGCTTGTGCATTGTGCTGCCTGTACTGAAATGTCTGATTGTGTGACTGAGTAATGTGTTATTCCCGCAATGGTGTTGATTCACTCCGAAGCCCTATCTGTGTGGGCAGCGAAGGAGTAACGTTCCACTCTGTGTAAACCCTCCTCTGATAACTAAAAACCACCAGCTGTGCTAGTCCTGACAGGCTTGTAAGCAGTGAGAAATCAACCTCTTTTATCTTGTTTACTCAAACGAGGGCAAATGAGCGTCGTTTGTAAGCATGAGAGTGAATAATTAATCTTTGTTCTTCCAAAGTTATACAATTTCCCATACCCAATCATATCTGATGTTGAATTTCAAATGGTGAATATGAGAAATTTTGACTCTAGGATCTTCTGATCAGGATCTGCATCTTATAATTACATCTTGAATGACTTATATACACCATCTCCTCACTGTGAGCTGGAAAAAAAATCAGTTTGAGCGTTTCAATCTAGCTGGGAGCCCATTTAGTCCTTTTTAAAACTAATTGCAGACATGTAAAGAGCTTCACCCTACCTGGATGCTGAACTTTAGATGTTCCATTCACAACGGCACCAAATGTTCAGATTCACGTGGGCTTCGGATCTTGTAGAGAGACTGTTATATAACTGAACCATTTGGACTGTGAACACTAAGGGACTTTTGCTTCAAGTTTACTGTGATGCATATCTACTGATCATCATCATATTCAGGATAAATGTTATTTTAAGTCTTGAAAATAATGCAATATATCAAACAGACAATGCTCACTCCCTGCTTTCCTATCTGAACAGCATCTTCACTCAACCAAAAAACCTGTTTGATGATGAAAGACTTTTTATTCTTTAGGGAAGCCAATTACTTGGAAAGAGGTTAAGATAGTTTGGATTTTGACGTCAAAATTCAGTCATCTCAGCGTGAACAACAGAATTGTAGCATGTAACAATGCCAATAATTCAAAGAGCATTTTTGGTGTAAGTTTTGTATCTTGTTTGTATTCTATTTGTGGTTTACATAGACACAATCTTTCGTGTCTCGGACCTGTGTCTGTCCATTTTGCATTTGCACTGTATAATTCAGAATGCAGCCAGCTGGATTCTGGCTAATGTATTTAGTGGCTCTGAACATAGAGGCATCATCATCATTTATCCTTGCCATTGGACACAGTGTGATGTACTCATTCGCTAAAAATAATTCTATGGCTTGTGGAGTACTAATTTTAAGACTTGTATATAATCTAGTACACTGATAAACAATGGAGAGAATGCACAGAAGAAACACTATAGATCAACAAGAAAGGAATACAATCCAAACACAACGGTATCATAATTTGTGCTTTTTTAGCTCAAATGACATAAAAAGCTTTTAAAAATAAGCGACTGGTTCTTTTAGGTTCGGTTTAAATGAATCTCTAACAAGCGATTCATAAGCCAGAAGTTGCTAAATTAACCTAAACTGTTTCTTTGGGTGAATTTAGGGGTCCAGTGTCTAATCCGAATGAGAGTATAAAAATATAAGCATATACAAATATGTAAGGTACATAAATTGCTTCCCACAAGAAAAAAATGCAATTTGTTCATACGAACACAACAATATAAGCATATAACAGAACATGTAGCTCACTATACAAAGACTCGAACATTTGGATAGGTAGGTAGGTCACTTCAGAGAAATTTAGGGCAGCCAGCTTGAATTTAAGTGAGTCACAATGCCGCGAAATAGAAGAATTAAAACAATCTGGTGGGGTGGTATGATATACAAACAGCAGACAGAGAGATCTTCACCAGTTTTAGGTAAAAGCAGTTTTTTCATTTGCATTATAAACCCTGGAACATCTAGATCAGCATAATATTAGTGCAGAGAAGCTGTCTGGCATTCAAGACAAGCTTGCAAAATCAGTCCACACACAAGCCGAGAAATAAATATGAGAATCTAGAGTGGACATTTTGTTCATGTACAAATCAAAGTTCATTCTCAATTAATGCTTGCTGGCCTATATCGCAATGTCAATCTAATCTGGCAATATTCGTGTAAAACTAAAATTTTGTTTAAAATGTAAATATTTACCGCATTGTGTGTCTGTGTCTGTCCAACAAGGATCAGGATGTTGGAGCAGATGATTGAAAGGCAGAAATTGATCAGAATGATTGATCTCTCCGACCTGATGTACCTGAAAACACATTGTTTATCAAAGTTACATTCCCCCAGAAGTGCAAAGGCATTATTTGTAATATCCCTTGTACATCTATGCACTTACCTCCATAGAACAGCATACACCACGGTCAGTGTGATCAAGGCCAGGCAGGAAAGACCACAGCCCACTATTAGTGTCACAGATGGAACCCCTGTGTACTCCATAGCCTGTGAATGGCACACAAGAGCTTCAGTGAGCAATTGTCAAACCCTTGTACCACTAATAAAAGCACATTACAGGATGCTTGCTTGTTGCAGCAAAGCCATTTATACTGCTGATATTTAGAGGATTAAAGCACAAGTTCTTTGGGATTTTTCAAACTTTGCCCCTGCTGCATCACTGAGACGGAGAAAACACCATCATTTTCACACGGGAGCTATTTTTTCACTGACTGGTCACATGGGCAGAGAAAAAATGGCTGCCTCTTACTCTGTAGGGTAAAACAGCCATGTTTTGCTGACTACTGAATTGACTAGTGAAGAGACCAGAGCTGATGGCATTATATCGCAAATGTAAAGCATATTTAAATGTTTTGAGATAAAATAAAGATTAATATTATACAGTTACATTAATCTAAATCAACAAGACTGTGAACTGTATTAGAGAAGGAAGCCATTATTACATAATATGAAAGCCATAATTTATATGCACAATCCTGGTATATCTGCATAATATCTCACCGCTAAGAACTATTTTTTTTAATGTAAATAGCAAATTGAATATTGAAATTGAAGAGGCCAGAGCTGATGCTCATGCATCTCAAATGTGAACGTATATAAATGCTTTGAGCAACATTTAGGAAAGGTAAAATGGAGATCATGATGGTCAATATTACTTTTTACCCTCAAATTACTTCAATCTGTGAAGGGGGAAGCTTTAACAGAAGGTGAGGCCATAATTAAAATAAATCATATATAAACATATATATAAAATATTTAATGGCAATTACTTAAACAGGAGATTCTGAGCTCGCTCTCTCTCTCACACACACACACACACAAGCTTTGCACCGGTAGATTTCTATCATAATCAAATATGACATGATTAAAGTAAATTATTAAACGTCCATTTGAATACAACCCACATTTTAATCAATACAGCATCTCTTGAGATCCCCGGCAGAAGACGATTCCAATACTTACTATTTCTCTGGGTTGTTGAGCCAAAATGGCGAAGGTAGATACCCGATCACATAAGCATTTGGTGTGGGATGCATCGGTGAGCACAGTTCTGCATCCTTTAGAGCTCCAGCTGCCCCAAGAATCGTTCCTACACAACACAGACAAGATTAAATCGCTTTAACAAGCTTTTTCCCTCTGTGAATCCGTCACTCTGAATCCCCAACAATGCGCTCTCATCTCATCCACTTCACTTCTTACTTGAGCGACAGAAAGTAAACGCAACGTATTTCAGTGCAGATCGTACTGAGTGCGACTGAAGCGCTGAGGCTCTGTGGTGCTGAACGACTCACTGCTCACAGATACACTCACACCACACAACAAAATAAACCTGAACCTGCGATTCCTTTGACGCTTTTCTTCTTGTTTTGCTTCAGCTTTCTCTTATCGCTCTCTATCGATATGTATTCCTCTCTCTTTTCTAATTAGCGCCTTTTGAACGCTTTCCTGAGGGAAAAATTCAGCCGAGAAACGGCGGACGGCATCAGATTGATACTCTCTTGCCTCCTGCCTCGCGCTGCAGCGGAGGGGGGAGATACCTCACGAATAGTCCCCGTTTCTTGTTCGTTCATCCTGATTTCGGCATTTATTCGCGAATATTCTAAGTCTATCCGATGTTATAGCATTTGATTCCACAAAATGCTTTTCCCGAGACATAAACGGCAGGGGAAAACGGAGAGGAACCGTTAACCACCCCGTAGAAACGGGCTGGATGGTAGCAACCAATTTCTCCTTCTCTGGCTAGCAAAATGATAGAATAGACATCTCACCTATTTATTAATGCTTACACTTCTCGGCTGATATTGCAGTAGTTACATCTAAAGATCAGCCTGATATGTCTTACTTAACTTAGGTGGTTAATAAATCATTTAAGGCTAAAATATTTGAATAAGCTGATAAACATCATCCAGGTTTGCATTTACTCAGCTTAACTGATTAATGTTTGATAACATTGTATATCTTGTGTAAAATAATCATATCGAGCCTCTGGTATAACAAAATCAGTTAGTCAACAGTTATGAAGTACTATGATTAACCAGCTGAATACAGCTAGTGTAGTCTAGAAGCAACATTGAATTATAGTGCCTCCAAAAGTTGCATAACAAATACATCCCTTTTCTGGAGGCTGTACGACATGACATCCTAAGTAACTTTTCCCTGAGGAAGACTATGAGGATCTCCATAATTAAACCGCAGCAATTGCTCTCTTTTCAAGGTTTAATTAAGCTTTAAATCTCACTCTTTTTATATGCATGGATAACATGCATAATAACTTTCATTAAAAGAGAGTAATAGGCATTATACAATATCGTATCTTTCATATATATTCATATATGAAAATGTACGATTCACATGAAAATTTCATGACATTTCTAAGTACCTGAATGCACTTTACCTATGGATCTGTAATGATCCAAGAGCATTTCATGCATAGCAAATGACTTTTGGTTTTGGATCATATTTAGCTCCAGATATGTGTACAACATAAATCAGGCTGGACTGATTCACTCATGGAAGACGGAGTGTGGCCCTGTCCGGTCTAACCGCATCGACAGCAAGCCGATAGCGACTGACTCCAGGCGTTTATTAGGACGTTGTGGAATGGATTGCTGTGGGTTACTGTGTCAGCAAACCAATTTGATTTGATGCACTCAATATGCAGTCAATTCAGCTGATCATTGACTGTATATGAAATGAAAGAAACAACATCACCTAATCATAATTAACAAAACAAAAGGGCTTTGTTAAAGTAATGTGCATATTTTTACTTTGGTAATTCGTTCTTGGGTAATACATTGGTAATGTACATAGCTTATTTATGGAAGTCTGATATATTTTCCACCAGGGAGAAGGCAATTTATTTTCTGTTTAGTTGCATCTGTTCTCTTGTTACTCACTTGGCTCTTCCGGTCTGGGAGGAATTCGAAAGACACACAGTCTGTGGAGGAGTCTGTGGGTATAGGAATTACGCTAGGCTCAAGATAGACTCGGTTTCTAGGCAATTGTAAGAGTAGAGACTAATGACTTTTATTAGCCGGGATGTGGCGCTGTCCATGGTACTGAATCACTACATTTAGGCTAGCAGAATGACACTGTAATCAGATTTGCGTACAATTCTGACATTTGAGGATTTGTCTTATACTTAAGATTATTCAATATATCCTTCATATTTTATATCATTTGTACTGTTTGGATGCCAGGCTACTGGCAGTAATGCACATAATATAGTAAACTGTGTGCTTTGAACTGCTGAAACGTTGCAATCAGTGGTCTATTCATGTCCGCTTTGCAGCTACTTTTGGACTGTTCATTTTATACATAAGCATTGAGTCTAACAATAATTCTTTAAAGGCACTTACACAAAGCAACTCAGCATACACCTACTTCAATGCTGTATGAAAAAAGTAGTAGTACTGTACACCTGACAAAAATACAGCACAAAATGCTCATCAACCACACATCTTTAGTCCTTGATTCCAACATCAAGAAGATATTAAAATATAGATGTTAAAAATGGATATAGATATAAAAATAGATATTAAATATCTATTTAAGTAAATATTAAAAACGCATAAAATAATAAATAGATATTAAAAATGCATAAAACAAATTTATCAACAAACAGCCTCATAGCATTTACTGTACATTGAAATCATAGCACTAAACATGCTGTTAATTTTAACAATTCCTCTTGATGTCAATTTTCTTCAAGATGTGAACAGGTAGAACAAAAATAAATAAATAAAAATGAAGAAAAAAAGGCACTTCTTTCAAGGTACAGTAACTATTCCATAAATGCATGAAACAAATGATCCATAAATGTTTGAAACATGTACAGTAATATGACACAATCATTTCCAAGAGACTTTTATGTGTTTAGCAAATTTATCATGAACATTTTTAAATAAAATTTTAGCATATATGAAAACAGAAAAAAAATTTTCCACCATTTTTCATCTGTCTACATCCATTTTCAAACATCACTACTTAATTTGAAATGTAATGGTCTAGTTATGTAACAAATTAATTTTTTAAATAACAAATATTCTCTCAATTAATGTAAGGTCATAAATGGTCATACTAATAAAATAACTTTTAAAATACTGAAGTTTAATTAGTTTAAGATTTGAGTACAGCATAGCAAATTGCAAGACTGTCACTTGCATGTCAGCTACCCGTAAACCAAAACAGCATGTTAATGCCACATAAGGTCATGAAAATTTATACAGATTCTGAGATTCTGTATTTTGTATGTTTTTGCTGGAAACTCAAGGTCAATAATTCTGCTACCTATGGAATGAATGAAGCAGATTTAAAAAAAAGCAACATAAGGCTACTCTTAGAAAAAGAGCTAATGGCAAACCATTACACAACCTTTGCTATTCTAATCATCACCTCTATCCCTTCTGAGGAAAATTTTATGAGGAAAAAAATGGAGATTTATGCCAAAGTGTGGCCCTCCTGTACTTTTTCATACATGCGAAACTTGATAGAGTTGTAAGTATTCAAGCGAGAATCTGCATGATCGATGCAGAGTTAAGCAACATTTGGCCTCAGAGAGAAAGATTCTGCTTTTAAATCAAGGTAACTTATCATTTTCACAATGCTGGGACATATACCACACCTTCCTGATAGCTTCGAAGAAACCGCTCATCAGTTGTGCTGGGATGGGGAAGAAATACATTGAATCTGATTATAAACAAATGCTATCCTGAAGCCATTTTTAAGATAATGTAAGCCATTTAAGTGAACAAAGCTTACAAGCAAACAGGACTGTAATGGTGACTTCAGGTATTCACAACACATTTTCTTCCATTTTTTCCTGTTACTCATTACCATAATTGTTTTTTGTAAAACAGTGTTTCTATGCACCTACTACGTTCTTGCAAAATGAACATGCTTCATTGTTTTTCCTCAAAAATACAGTGTTAACGGCATTCAACAATGTGCATTCAAGTCAACATGAATGAGAAATCCAGTCTAGACACAGTTTAACCTCAGTTTGTCCTCAAACCTCATGTTTTTCCAAACCTGTATGACTTTCTTGCTTTAGTGGAACTCAAAAATAAATACAATAGACTATGCTAGCCCTGTTTTCCATGCAATTACAATGAAAGAGGAACTAAAGCTTTCAAGTTTCAAAATGAGGCAGAAGAAGTTGTTCTTAAAAATTGTGCTATATTTCAAGTTTTCCAAAGTCATATTATTCCTTTATGTGAAAAACAAAAAACAAAATTTAATTCGTTATACACTGATAATATTCCTCTCCAGTGAGTTGTTAACCACAGCAACTGTATCATTGATTCAGTGAGTCAAAATCAAGAATAAGATCATATTGATTCATGACCAAATCATTCAGACCAGTACTGTGAAGTGGACTGAACTGAAATGATTAATTGAAAAGATTCAATTCATTCATGAATCCAAGCTTCTGTCATAAATGCGCCTATGAGATCTAGGGCGGATGTCAAGATTTTTAGTGAATAGAGAATAATTCACCAAAAATTTGCTGAAAATGTACTTAACCTTAGGCCATTCAAGATGTAGATGAGTTTGTTTCTTCATCAAAACAGATTTGGAAAAATTTTGCATTACATCACTTGCTCAGTGGATCCTATGCAGTGAATGGGTGCCGTCAGAATGAGTCCAAACAGCTGACAAAAACATCACAGTAATCCACACGACTCCAGTCCATCAATTAACATCTTGTAAACTGAAGAGCTGTGTGTTTGTAAGAAACAGATCAATAATTTTTTTTTAATTTTAAACCATTGCTTCTGGCTGCAATACAGGTACTCTACACAGATTATTGTGATGTTTTTATCAGCTGTTTGGACTCTCATTCTGACGGCACCCATTCACTGCAGGGGATCCTTTGGTGAATAAGGGATGTAATGCTACATTTCTCCAAATCTGTTCCCATGAAGAAACAAACTCATCTACGTCTTGGATGGCCTGAGGGCGAGAACATTTTCAGCAAATTTTTAAAATAAAAAGTTTCTGAAATAAAGCTATTGAATGACTTCAGGACTTTTTGTTATGCTTTCTTGATGCTTCTGTGGAAGCGCGACAGGTTCCTAGCCATTTTAA